GTGACTGGCCTTCATGATTGCTGGCGGCAGGGCGCCCGTCAGAATCTGCCTCGCTCGCCGCGAGCGTGGCGGGGGCCTCTGACGCGACACCCTTGCGCGGCTCCTCTGATGCTCCGTGAGCCCGTCCGCCAGAGTCGATTGCACCATCTGTTGGGTAGCGTGGATGACTATCCGCATGAGGCTCAGGATTACGATGTTTTGGTGTCCCTGCATGATGGATCACTGTAGCGGGTTCGGCGGGCTTTGAAGGGATCTCGGGATTCTGTCCTGGAGTTGCGGATGCGGGGCTTCCTCCGATAATGAATAACGTGCACGGGAGTTCGACATCAAGCCGCTTCTCATAGCCCATGGGTTTGCTCGGGTCCGTCATCACTAAGTTCAGCCATCCACTCACTTCGCAAGACATTATTGGCCAACGGGGCGCGGTGAGAGAAATGCCTGCGCGCGCCCGCTGCCCTGGAAACTTTCGACCCGAACGGCGACGTAATGATGGCGATGCATTGCCGACTACAACTGCGAATCCCACCAGCCCTCTGGGCGTCGGTGGTTTAGAGAGCTTCCTCTTCCACATGCCCGTCTTCCCCTTCGGGGAGGGCGTTACCCCTCCCCCTACCCCCTCCACTGGACCTGGGCGGGGGGCCCCGCGAGTCGCCTGAGCGTCCAAAACGGCCTCGGCGAGGAAGCCAACATCATTTGCTTTACGTTGGCGTTGGCCACATGTTGGCCCCCTGAGGGGGGACTGCAATTAGACCCCCCCCCCGCCTGTAATCGATCTCGCCCAAGACGGCCCATCGATGGCCCCGAAGGCCCCCAGGGGTGTCCCAGGAGGGCCCCACGAGGTGGCCAGGCAGCCCCAAGAGGCCCTCAGGATGCCCCCAAGAGGTTCCCAAGAGACCCCCAAGAGGCCCCAAGAGACCCCCCAGAGGCACCCAAGAAGCTCCAAGAGGCCTCGGCGAGAATGCCCAATCATTGATGCTACTAAGGTTTTAGCCACATGGTGGCCTCTTGGGGGGGGCACTGATTAAGATGACTCCAAGAGTGCCTGGGGGAGCCCACGATGACCTCCCAGACGGCTCAAGATACCCCAAGACGTCTCATACTGCCTTCCTCTGCGTGCTGCCCACTTCCCTGGTCGAGGCAATTCCTCGGGGCATCGTTTCTGGATGGGTTGGTGGGGATTCGCGAAGCGCCAACAATTTAGTCCTAAGAGCTGTTTCCTAAGGGACCGCGGCCATACACGAACTTAGACACTACCTAGTCATATGGTTTAAGCGGGTTGGATAGCGGGTGCCATCTAATGGTCTACATTTTGGATGCAGTTGATCGCTCATTCGGGGCATCATTGCTACCGCGGGTCGCAGCGACAGATGAGCGCCGCAAGGGCGCGGACCACTCGGGGGAGGGCGGGCGGGGAGGGGAGAGGCGATGCGCTCTTCTTAAGGGCGGAGGGGAGGGGGGATGATTTGACTATAGCTAGCTGGCTCGGTGCAACCTGAGCTCGGTGATGCGGCGTCGGCAGACAGCGCGTGCAGGCGCAGCGCCGACGCGCGAACAGAACACATGCTTGCCACCAGGATGCGTGACATCTCGGGGCGATGCGCAATGCGCCCCCCTTCGCCAGCTCGCAGGGTAAATCTGCCAGCAGAAAGGGGCGCATGCTAAACTCCCATCACGTACCCCGACAAATCCAGAGACTCGCTCTCCTCGCCATCAGCAAGGGCGCGTTCAAAACTGAGGAGCTTCCTCCCTGCGTCAGTGGCCTCAAGACCGCTGCGCGCCAACAATCTCTGGTCGCGGTCCAAGGCTCGGAGCCGCACGTTGTCTGTGTGCTTGACCTTCCTGTGGCATCCGCGGCCATCGACCAGCCATGCCGCGAGGAAGCCGCACGGCCTCCCTCCTTTCATCGCTCCACCCGCAACTCCCTTCAACCTGGAGGTTCGCGTCAGGACGCACCCGTGCTTGGAGCAGACTGCCTCGAAACAGTTCTTCGACTCATAGTAGCTGATCTTCCCCGTGCCCACGTGAACAGTTGCCTCGGCAGGTCTCTGGCCGCCGCGCACAGGAGGCCCAGCGGCAAGTGGCGGAACCAGCTCTGGCGGCAGTGGAGCGGCTCCCGCCGGCGGCAGCTCCTCATGCGGCGGCAGCGGGGGCGGCGGCGGTGGCGGCTCTCCTGAACCCGATGCCGCTGAACTGGCAGCCCCGCCGCCATCGCCTCCACTGGGGCCAGAAGAAGAAGAAGAAGAACCAGTGTCGCCGCCAGCTCCGTCGGCCCCGTCATCGGGGATCATGGCCAGAAACATGTCCATTAACTCATCCAAGTCGCTGCGTGGCTCGACACCCTCGCCACCCGTGCCGCCTCCCTCAGCGCCCTCATCCTTGGTGAGGTCCTCCTCGGGGTCGCAGCTGTCGCCGTCTGCCAGCGCCTGTGAGCCCGACGCAACTGAAGACCAATCAGGGGCAGAAGTATCTTTCACGTTCGTGCCCCTCTTCTCCCGCAAGGGCGGCCAGGCATGGTAGACAGGGCTGGCGCTCTCAACTGATACAATGTCTGGCGAAAGATACGGCAGAGCCAAGCTGGTAGAGCAAATCTGGAAGAACTCGACTGTCCACTTGGTGTTCAAGGACATTTCGCTGAAGGCCTGCATCTCTGTGTAGAAGCTGCCGACAGCCTGCGGCATATTGGGGGGCGCCGAGGGATCCCCTATGAAACCGTTTGCCCTCAACCCTCTGCATTGCCAGACACAAACACCTCAATGCCAAGGGGGGCGGGGGCTGGGAAATACGCGAGGCGCGCGCACTGGAAATGCATCGGCTATGCGGCTACGCGTCGGGGCGCACAGGAAAAGCATTTAACCTGGAGAAACGCATGGCAGACACGAACATCCCGCGAGCCTTCAACTTGATCTTCCGCTCATCCTCAGGCTGAGCAGCCGGCTTCTGCAACTTGCTGAAGGTCGGCCGAAATGGGCTCAAGTACATCGCGGCGACGTGGAACCACAGTTCCACAGGGGGTCCCTCGGCGCCCCCCAATGGCGAACCCTCAAACCGACACACGATGAAGCCATCGACCAGCAATGCTCGCATCGAAGATCGCGGTGGGCAGGCGGCCTTGAGATGGACCAAGTACTTATTCCGAAACTTCCACATGCGCAGCCCATCCCCTTGACAAATGCAGATGCCAGCCTTCATGCACGGAGTGAGGAGCGCAGCTGGGGCATCGACAGGAGCGCAATCGTCCCTCATGATTGTGCGGTGTCTCTGCGACCATTGTTGCTCTAGGTACTGCCCTAAGTTGCATTTGCTGAACGCCTCCGCCCACGCAACGCCAACTTTCGCATGCTGCTCTGAAGGGGGGCGCACGAAGTAGCAATGACCACGGCCCTCGCATGGCACTGGAACAATATCAGACTGCCGCAATATAGCTATTTGCCTGCGGAGCTCCTCCACGAAACCAGCGCCACTGCCAACCTCGAACTCAGAAAGCGTGTCCTGAATATCCTTCTCCTGCTGGGCAACCCGCTGCCGATTCTGCAAACTCAACTCCTTGGCAACGGCCACGTGGCAAGATACATCCATGAATGAAGTGCCCCCTGGGAGAAGGCTCACCACGTCGCCGCTCGTCGACTGCACGCGATTGGCCTGCGCCTGCCGCGTTGCCCGAAGTCTCATGGCAGCGCGCTGCTTCTCGTTCAGTCCGAACGCCCCTGCCTTGGGGCCAGTGCGCTCAGCCCTGGCAGCGACAGTGGCGAGGTTGCCATCACATACAAGTCTGTTCCAATCGTCACCGCCCCGTTGTTTGATCTCTCTGTACTGGGCGCTCAGGGCTCTGATGTCACAACCTCTCATCCCTCCCGCAGCCGAAGTCGCCGTGCTCACATGGGCCCTCCAAGAGCCCCCTGGCCTCATGCGCTTCTTCTCCTGCGCGGGCTCGTCGGGCACGGCGTCCTCCACCCCCCTCCCCTGCAACGTGAGGGCACGGCGAATGGGCAACGTGCGCATGCCATCCCGACCCCGCCAATCCGCCACCGCGCCGTTGGGCGCGGCGGCAGGTTGGCGCGGTCGGAACGCGCATTCCTTCAAGCACCCGTGGGGAGTCCATGAAGGGCCTTGGCCTCACAGTGCCAAACATTATTGGGCCTGTCGCGTGCCCCCTGGGGTTCCTCGCAGCGTCTCGCGCGACTTTGTTGGGCCTGGTGGAATGCCCGATATGGGGCGGGAGGGCATCACGCGGCCCTCGAGACGGCCCTGGAAGAACCCAGGTCGCCCGACGATCGCCCCAAGACGCTCAAGATGGCCTCAAGATGGCCCAAGAGGCCCCCGAGACGCCCAAACAGGGCCCCAAGAGCCAAGAGGGCCTTGAGATACCAACATAATGCATATTCCACGTGTGTTTCAATGCTCTGGGCGTCGATTATTCCAGCTCCCGACGCTCCACGACTGTCCAGGGTGTCCTCAGGACCGCATCAAGACGGCCCACGAGGCCCCCCAGGCGGACCCCAGCACTACCCAACTCAGGCTCCAAGGCGGCTCCAGAGGCGCCCAAGACGACCCCAGAGGGTTTAAAGACAACCCCACGGAGGGCCCAGAGAGGGGGAACACGAACCGAAAATCCGAGCCCCCGCCCCAAGAGGCCCCCACGAGGCATCACGGAGGCCCCGAGGGCCCCCCCGAGAAGCCCCAACAGATCCCCAGGAGGCCCCGAAGACGCCTTCAGAAACCCCAGAACGGCCCCCAAGAGGCTTCAAACTTGTCACCAACCGAGAGGCCTCGCGCGACATCCCAACGAGCACCCAACAGACAGGCTTCCGACCCACAACCCAGGCTGGCGAGATGGGGAGGCCGTCAGATAAGTTATCTTCACGCCCCCGCCGCTCCCCCACCACCACCACCCCAAACATTGCGCACCGTCGTTCGGACTCAGAATTGCGCGTGTCACTCACCCCTCCCCCGTCCGCAAACATAACTTCGCGCTAACCCTCGACCTGACGCCCCCTGAGCGCCCGATTCTCGCATCCCTGTCCTGCTCGCTCGCACTGGTCTCATGGCGGTGCTGGCCAGACCAAGGTCGCGTCCTCTGAAGAGTGCGAGCCTGCTGCATCAGCCACTCGGCGGAGGCGTCCTCGATGTTGAGCGTGCGTGTGTGGGTTGACCTCTGCTCCAGCTGGCGTCGGACGGCAGCGCGCTTCGCCTCCACGCAGGTGGTGCCCACCTGAATGAGCATGGCGAGGGCGAGCAGCACCCCCCAGAGGTCCTGGCCAACCAAGTCAGGGAAGCGGGCGCACAAATCTTTACCCCACGGCCCCTTTCATACAGTCTGGGGTTCGGTTCAACGACTGCGCCCTGCTGCTATCCACGAGCAGCCCGAAGACTCTGAAGTGGAAGAGGGAGTGGTTCGACACGTGGAGCTGCTCCACCAGCGCGCCTTCCCGCGCGAGCAGGCGGAACGCCAGACAGTTGAACTCCTCTGTGTAGCACCTCTCTGGAAACGAACGCCAGCGATGCGGCCCAAGCCAGATCGTCTGGAGCTCTTTGAAGAAATTTTCCTCCAGTATGAGCTCGCACGCGGTGACGATCCTGCAGTCCCTAGCGCCTAGTCCTGGAAGGCGCCCCATCTGATGCGACCTCGCCACGGCCGCCCTCTGGCTGAGCTCCCAGCGCAGGCTAGCCATGTCCAGCTGGTCGTGGAGCATGCGCATGATGGGATTGAGCGCGCACCTCAACAACACCAGGTCAGGCAAGGGATCTCTGGACAACAATTCGAGCGTCAACTTCCTGTCCTTGGCGTTCTTCCCTGCGAAGCTCGGCTCCGAGTCAGCGCGGCCAGTGTTGTCGACGACCTCATGTCGGTCAGCTGGAGCAGCGTCGGCGGGCACCTCCGCATCTGGCCCGCGATGGACGTGCGCGACATCATCGACCCCGCCGTCGTCCAACACGCCAGCAGCACCATCGGCGCCCACCGCCCCGCCAATAGGGCCCGCGGGAGGTAATTCTTTGCCGAGGGTTCGAGAAAACAAAGGATACGTCGCAGACGCCAGCCCGTGCATTGCTTCGAGGCGCCCCCAAAAATCAATTGCGATCTCTGAGCCCGTCCACCGATGCCTCGGCCACACGCTAGGCTTCGCGCTCACCAGAGCGAAACTGATACCGTTCTCGATGACGCTTGCCACTGCAGCTACGTCGATGTCGGTCACAAGCCCGTGCGGCACGCATACCTCGACGTAATCTCGATTCCTCCAGTCGCCGCGTGGAAGGCAAGCGACAACTACTTTCTTCACCATCCTGTCAGGGCCCAGTCTCGAAAAAAAAACATCTTGATGACAGATCTCTTGTACTTAACAGCGTCATCTGGCAGCCCCTCGGGGACGAGCTTGATCCTGGACTTGATCACGTGCCTCGAGCACTTCCTAAAATGATTCAAATAGCCGCTGAGCTGCAAGGAAAGGGATGCGTGAATCACAGACGAAATCGTGCGAGGCATGAGACTCTCAGACGTCTTGCTGTGGATACCTGCTGTCACGTGAACTTCGCAGAACAAGCGCAGGGACTCCCATCCATGTCGGTCAGACGCGATGCTGTTCTCCACGACGATGTTGGGCTTCGCGGAGTCAGAGCAGCAGAAGCGCATCCGTTGTTTGAAGCCGTCGCTGTATGTGGACACCGCGCAACTCCGTAGCACTGCGTTCTTGCACACTGGCGCAGCCGTCGACTCCATCGGCTGCAGGGGGCACACCGTATTCAGATACAGCCGCACTGGGATATCGCCAACATTGACGAGCAACCACACTGCTTGGTCAATCTGCATGAGCTTCGTGACCATCGCAGCACTTCGTTCGTGAGCAGCGAGGGCGCGCATGAGCCGCAGTGCCCTGCCAAACGGCAGGGGGACATGAGCGTGGAGATTGACATCGCTTGCGGATCCTGCAGCAGCATCTCCCCTCAGCGTCGTCTTCATGGGGGTCTCGTCGTAGCGTGACGTGTCGACGTACAGCAGGCACCGTTCTCTGCCGAGCGACTCCACCAGGGCGCCCTCGAGCTTCTTCCGCAACTGAACCTGGCACAAGAAATACGCCTCAGCAAAGCGGTGAAGCGCTTTCTGCAGGACCTGGCGGTCGTGGCCTGTCTGCCTGGCGATCTGAGACCAGTTCAGCACGAGCCCAGAGGACATGCACCAATGTCGAGCCACATCCAGGATGATAGGACGCTGCACAGCACCAGGTGACATCCCCATTGCGACGCACGACTCAAGGTGAAGTGATAATGGGCTGGGCGGCGCAAGGGATACAACAGAAACTGGCATGCTCTTATCCCAGCCCCTCACGATCACACCCGTGTCTCTGGTCACCAGTTCTGCCGCGGGCGCATGAGAATCAGACTCCGTGGGCCTTGGTGGCGAGTCCAACTCCACTGATTGTGAATCCAAGTCATCTGATACGGAACGCACCCACGACGCTGGACGACCTGTTCTCGATCTTTTCTGTGTCGGCTGGGGTGCCAGAGTGTCGTCCAGCGCATTCAACAACATGTTCGGCTCGGCGGCGGCTGATGCATCTGCTGGGGCCAAGCTGGCTGCGTCGATGGCCGCCACCGAGCCCCACGGGTCCTCTTCGGGCGGTTCGGGCTCCAGTGCGACTGTCGCTGCCACGGCAGCCCACATTATGAAGACTATGGACATATATGAATGAACATGAGGGGCTATCATGTTCCCAGAGCGAGGGGCCAGAACCTCTCGAGCCAAAATGGCTAAGGACGGGATGGTGTGCAGGGGGAGCAAAGGGGGCGTGGGGTGGGTCACCGTTCCGCGAAAATGTACAGACGCGGCGAATGATTATTGGGAGATATGGGAGAGGCATTTTTGGGGCGTCGACCGCACTGTGCTGGGGGTCTCTCGGCAAGGCGCAACATTGCAGCTTGGCCCACGTTAGTTGGCCTGGAACGTCGTTCGGCGAGGCGCAGCATCGTGATGCAGCAACGGGAGTCGCAGACATAGTAAGCTCTGGGCGAGGCGCGGAATTGTAAGGACTGTCTCTAGGCGAAACTCAATTTTGCATTGGCGTTTGAAGGTTTTGCGTCGCGCGTGCCCTCTCAAACATGGGGTGCGTGGGATGTCCTATGTTCGAAGCTGGGGCACGACTCATTATACATGGGGGGGACGTGTAAACGTGGCCATGGGAATTACGTTTTGCGATTTCGAAGCACTACGCGCTACTGTTGTCAGAAATGCATGTGGCGGCGCTTGAAATACATATAGCGCCGCACTGTCGAATCATGTTTCACTTTGCCCAGGTCAGGCTTTAACAGGCCCTGGGACCAACGAACAAACACAAGCAATCCAGGCCATAACTTGTTTGCACATGTGGCCTGCGCGCAACGACCGTCCTGCGCGGGCGTCGCGTATCCGACTCTCTGTCATACTGCCAAAATCGCACTCGCACTCCTTCTCCCCCCTCCTCCCAAAGCAACGTCGGACACCGGCGGTTTCTTACGGGGGAAAGCAGGTGATAATGAGGTGGGGAAGTAAGATTTGCGGGGGGGGGGTACAACGAGGTGACCTGAATGGAATCACCGAAGAGCGCGCATATTGCTAATGGGACGAAGGAGTAGACACATCGGGGCAACGTTTAGAACGAGGCCAAGTATAACGAAATACTGCAGGTGGCTAAACGACTTACTTTGTAACATGATTTGTCTCGCGCGTGGGCCCCTCGCCTTCTTGAAGGGCGAGCGGGCGGGCTGGGCGTACCTATTGTTAACGATATGCACGAAGTTATTTTAACCTATGTTTGACCTATCTGGCACTTTCTTCATACATGAGGCCTTACCAGGGGCGGCCACATCATAACCCCAGACAATATTCCTAACAGCTCTGAATATTCCTCCCGTGGAGGGACATGCCCTACAGGGCAGTTTTGAATACATAGAATTTTAAACATATACGATTGTTAATACATGAATAATTCATGAATACATTTATGCATGAACTCATCGTTGTTTTTGATACTAAATCCCTGCATGTTTAATACATGATCCGCACGCGGAGCATGTACTAAAAACGGCACTGTAGTAAGACATGTTCGAACATAGTCCAAAAGGAACTTCAAAAGTCGTCCCCAGGCTATTTTTCTAACAGCTTTGAGTATTCCTCCCGTAGGGGGACACGCCCTACTTTTAAAACTAGGCCCGTCCCCCGGCCCCACCTCGGGAGGACCACCCCTCCACGAGCCCCCGATCTGGGGAATCCAGAAGGTACCCATACAGATGAAGGGGCCCTAGGACACACAAATAAATACACACAAATAACTGGATTCACCATACTCCGGTAACTGGTTAAGAATTCTCTAGTTCGCGCGCACGGGGCGGCCCCTGGGGGTCCCCGGACGAAAAGTACCCCGGCAAGGTCCTGAGAGAGTCCCGGGAGGAGTCCCCCAGAGCGCTCCAGGAGCGCTCCATGAGCGCACCAACAGGGCTCCGAGACGTCCCCGAGAGCCCCAAGAAAGGCCAAGAGGCCCCCAAGAGGCCCCCAAGATGGTACACGAGGGGTCCGACATGCCACAAGATCGCTCCAAGACGCCCAAGATAGCCCCCAGACGCCCCAAGAGGCCTCCCAGAGCACTCCCAAGAGGGCCCCCGGAGGCAAAATTCATTGTTTTTCCTTAGGTTTTTGAGAGATTTTGGAGCTTCCACCTTTTCGGTTCCCGACGCCCCAAGACGGCCCCAGAGGCCCCCAAGATCGCCCCAAGAGGGCCCAAGAGGCCCCCAAGAGGGCCCCAAGATGGCCCAAGAGGGCTCGAAGACGGCCCAAGAAGCCTCCAAGACGGTCCAAGAGGGCCCCAAGAACACCCCCAAAGGGGCCCCAGAGAGGGAACACGAAACAAAATTTCGCGCCCTCGGCCCTAAGAAGCCCCTACGAGGCCCCAAGAGGCCCCTAAGAGGCCCCAAGAGGCCCCCACGAGGCCCTCAGGAGGCCCCCAAGAGTCCCCCAAGCGGCCCCAGGAGGCCCCCCAAATGCCCCCCCGAGCGCCCCAGGAGTCCCCCAAGCGGCCCCAGGAACCCCCAAAGCGCCGCATTGACACCAGGCCCTCGGGCAAACGGCAGACATGAGACCGTATGGGCCGGCGGAATGAGCGAAGCGATTCAATAAATACACACAAATAACTGGATTCACCATAGTTTCCAATATGTTTTGGGTTTCTGTCTTCCCCCCCACTTCCCACATTTTCCCATATGTTCCTTGGAGTCGACGATTAATTGAGTCTGTGTTTCTTCCACTCCTGGAAGGTACCCATACAGAAGGAGCTCGACCACAAGAAACCTTCCACCGCGGCTGGACATAAACGTCGCTTTTCGTTGTGTGTTCGTTATGGTTTCGTTATGTTCTGCCTGTTTTCCCGTAGTTCCCTGCCGAAGCGAGAAACAAAACACGGCCGAAGTCGAGCAAAACAGCGTTTAGGTCCAGCCCTGCCTTCCACAAGAAACCCAACCCTGAGACCCCAGGACGTCCATTGGTCTCTGGTGTGGGAACGTCACGCTTTCCACAGCAAAACCCAGGGCACCCTGGAGGCAAGCAGGGTGTTTCTTGGCATGGGCTTCCACTGTATCGCAACTCCCTGGACCTGTCCTGGGGTGCGAGACCAGGGTAGCGGTATGGATATCTGTCCCTCCTCCGACGGTCTTCCTATGGCGGCGCGCACGCGGGGGTCGGGGGAGGCGGGAACGCTTCTGAGGAGGCTGATTCCTAGAAGGCGCCAGCCCTACGTCTGTAGAGAAGGTCCGCGCCTTCTGAGAAGCAGGAGTGATTCTAAGAAGCTTTCCCCCTCCCCCTACCCCCCTCTGCGCGTCGTCGGCGTCTTCGTCGTCGTCGTCGTCGGCGTCGTCGTCCTCCTGAGCATGGCCGACCTGTCCCTCCTCCAACGACCTTCCTGGAAGGCGGACGGCACCTGCGAGGAGCCCTGCCGGCCAGGGCGAGGAGATCTCGGCCAGGCCAGGGCGCCACGGCGGCGCAGTGTCGCGACGAGGACGGCCCGCCCCTCGGGCCATCATGAACACCAGGCACGAGTCGAAGACGAACCACGCGTCCTCTCCGGGAGGGCCGAAGAGTGTTCTGCCTGTGCATCATGGATCCCGGCAGAGATTCGATGCGGTGAATATCGGTTCTTGACGCTCAAGGATTGCTGTGAGATCACAACGCCTACTCTGACTTTCTTTAAAAGCGCCGTGGGGGGCACCACCCCCGCCGACAGCCCTACATCCACCCCCGTCGCGGGCAGCCACCGCGCGCCGAAGGCGCTCCGACCCCCGTCGCGGCGCGACGACCAGGCGAGGTTGTCCCCCGTCGGGGGGAGGGTCCCCCCACGCTGCTTAAAAAACCCAGAGCAGATGATGTACTCGTTGCCATGGCTTAGTGTCCGTTAAGCGATATGTGCAACTAGTGTTAGGTCGGGCATGTCCCCCTACAGGCAGATGTTGGACGAACAAAAAAAAAATAGTCAAAACATATTCCAAAATAGTTATCTTCCTCCTGTGGAGGGACGTGCCCGATTTAAGCTCAGTGTCCGTTAAGCGGTATATGTGCAACCAATGTGTGCGCAGGCCGGCCGGCCGGCCGAAGGGCGCCCACGAGGCGGAGGAAAACGAGGCGAGATACGAGCAGGGAGGTGCTCCAGGCTGGCAGGAACCGCGTCTGGCCCTGGGGGGGAGAGGGAGGAGGGAGGAGGGAGGAGGGAGGAGGGACTCTCCGAATGTCGGGGGTGCGCCAACATGGATCGGCAATCCATGGATTTGGCGCGCGGTCGCCGAATCCATGGATCGGGGGAGATGCCCTCCCAAAAATGCGGCCGGTGCCGCCTCGTTCGGCGGCGGAGATCCGCGGCTTCTCATGGAAACGAGACCCATCGCCAATCCACGCCCCCCTGATCCGTGCCTGCGATCGCCTGAGGATGGAGCATCGATCGAACGTGGACGCGGGCACTTCCAATGGCCGAACAGCGCTGGGCTAAGGCTCTCGGCCGCCCCCCTGGCCAGCGCTCCCGGCCCCGCGCCCAGCCCCACGGCCAGTCCCTGAGCATCGTTGAGCCGCCCCTCGGTCCCCACGGGCGTGGGGCGGCCCCACTGGCCGAGCTACCCCCAGATGGGGATGTCCCCCAACTGGGGTGCTGAGATGGTGGGGGTCCCGATGGGATTGGGGGGGGGGGGGGATGGGCATGGGGGTACAGTGGGGGCCCGACCACAGGAAACCTTCCACCAGAAACCCAACCCTGAGACCCCAGGACGTCCCTTGATGCTTGGCGCGGGAGCGTCACGCTTCCCACAGCAAAGCCGTCGAAGCCCAAGAGACCCAGGGCACCCTGGAGGCAAGCAGGGTGTTTCTTGGCATGGGTCTCCACTGCAGGGGTCGGTTAAACGATACTGAGAGAGGAGTGAAGTCGGCAGAGGCCCGCGGCGCGCACAAGCAGGTGGAGGGAGGGGGGAGGGCTTCTTCGAAGGAGGCTGCTTCTTAGAAGGCGCCGGCCCTACATCTATAGATAAAGCCCGCGCCTTCTAAGACGCAGGGGTGCTTCTAAGAAGCCCTCCCCCCATCCCCCTCTGCGCGTGGCTGAAGAGGGAGGGAGGGAAACGAAGCGCAGAGAGCACGAGTGGGAGGGCAGGACGGGCCCCAGCGCCGCACCGCCGCGCCCCGGAGCCCACCAGCGACTGGTGGCCGCGGGCAGAGCCTGCTCTATTCTATTATGTGCTGGCGTCGGGCGCGGTGACCAGTCGGACGAGGAGGAGGACTGGGGGGCACGTCCTGGGAGGGCCTCGTGGGAACGACTGGGGGCTACGGAGCCAGATCGAGGCGCCAGTGAACCGAAGCAGCCCAGATTAGGCCGAGGATCGAGCCCGATCAAGCCAGACGAAGCCAGATCAAGCAAAGTCCGCCGCCAGTGCCCCCATGGCACATGGAAGCGAGGTCGACTGCCAAGTGCTGTCAGGTAGGACCTGTGTTTTCAACAAAGAGATCCCCCCTCTGCTCGCACTCGGCCACGTGCCCCGACCCCTTCCCTAGCCACGATACATGGATCTGCACTTCCGAAACCACGATCTCATTTAGCACACACCTATACACACATCTAAATATACATACACACACACATCTACTAGAACCACGCGCGCGCGCTTCGCGCGCACTTTGGTTCTAGCGTAGTCCAAACCAAATTCACAGGATCGGACGATGATGGACATCATCCCGCAAGGATCACCTTATGCGAGCGTAGTTTCTGATGGACGCTTCAGGAGTCGCTGAATAGAACTCCAGGGACTCGCGCAAGGCAGCCACGAGGATGACCCAGGACAGCCTAAGGGAGAATGCCTGAGAGCACCTAAGAGCCTGGCAAAACCATGCTGAGAGTCTCTTCGGATGCCTTTCGGGGAGGCACTGGGAGGGCTCTTGCGGGTTTCTGGGGGATTCTGGGGGATGGGGTCTCTCTGGCTGTTGTTGGGTATCTACCCGTGGCCTCTTGGGACTTTTGGGGGGGCACCTCGGGGGCCTCACCGGTGCTCTTGGCGCCTGGGCTCGAAATGACGGCTCGGATCCCCGCTCATGCCCCTGTCTTGGGGCCGTCTTGGCGCTCTCTTGAGTCGTATGCGGGCCGTCGCGAGGACTTCTTGGGCTGTCTTGGGCCGTCTGGGAGTCTCGGAAAGCCGAAAAAGCATGAGGGAGGCAGAGAGAGAAAGGCGTGAAGGACAGACGAGGAGGGAGGAGGGAAAATTGCGCAGTGAGAAGGAGGGAGCAGGCAGAACAAACCTCACAAGGCTGGCGATCTGGCGATCCAGCGATCCGGCAATACGGCGATCTGGCGATCCGGCAATCCGGCGATCCGGCGATCTGGTGGCCTGGCGATCCGGCGATCCGGCGATCCCGCGATCCGGCGATCTGGCGATCCCGGCGATCCGGCGATTCGGCGGTCTGGCGGCCCGGCGATCCGGCGACCGGACACGGCTGACGCGGCGGACGCAGCGGACGCGATTCCGTGTCGCACCACAATCAGAGGCTAAAAAATCCACCCCGATAATAACCACCCCGACACGCGAAGCCGTTGAGTAACGCACCCAAAGAAGTGCCCCTGGCCCAGTACAGTGCTCCGTGGCCCCAGAAGGAGCTCCACCGAAGGCCCAGTGGCTGCTCCCGGATAGCTCGCAGAGTGCTGAGAGGGTTTTAGCGTAAGACGCCGGAGCCGCAGGGTAGCCCCGGAGGTCGTTTCGGTTTCTGGGAAAAATCCCTGGCGCGCCTTGCTTGACCCTGCAGCGTGTTCCGGCAGGCCTTTTCTAAGCGTTTCCCAATACGCGTGCCCGGAAGTTCTCCAGAAGGACCTTCGGAAGCTCTCTCCAGGTCCTTCCAGAGTGCTTCGCCAGGCCTTTCCACGCCCTTCGGGCGCCCTGTTATACGGGTTTTGGACTACACAATTTGATCACATGCGCCTCCCCCACCCAATACACGTTTCCATAGCCCGGTAGGGAGCTCCACTGGAGGCCCCAGTGGCGGTGGTCAGATGCGTCTCCCCCACCCATTGCAGCGCATCGGGCCCCCAGGATTCTCGGTGTGGCCCAGACGGCCTCCATAGCACTCCGGACGAGGCCCGGAGGCCACCAGGAGCCCAAAAACGCAGCGAAAAGCTGGGGGTACCTTGGGCCAGGGCAACTTCTGGCAACACCCGACGGTCGACGTGTCCGCCGCGTCCGCCGGCGAGGACATTCGGGGGCGCGCAAACATGGATTAGCAGTGGGTCGGGCATGTCCCCCTACAGTCGGATTTTGGACGATTTATTTTTTTTTTTTTTTGAAAAATGATCCTAGATGCCAAAAATCATCCCCTGACTATTTTTTTACTATTTTTGAATATTCCTCCTGTTGAGGGGACAAGCCCGACTTAAGATCAGCGATCCATGGATTTGGCCCGCGGTCGCCAAATCCATGGATCGGGGGGGGCGCCCTCCCCAAAATGCGGCCGGTGCCGCCTCGCTCGGCGGCGAAATCCGCGCTTGCCAGTGGAAACGGGACCCGACGCTAATCCACGCCCCCTGGATCCATGTCTGCGATCGCCTGAGACATGCATTCTCGACGCTGGCGCTGTGCGGGGGCGGCAGCGGGGAGCGCGAGGGTTCGGGACCCCTCTGGGGCCCGAGATCTGGCGCGGAAGCCGGCGCGCTCCCCCGAAGCGCGGACCGCAGCATCTCGACTTGATGCCAGTCGGCCGAGCCTTCGGCTATGGCGAACTGCCGCCAGTGTTCGCCCCCATGGGTTCCCGTACCCATCTCGATCGTACCGGCCCCTGCCCCTCTCCCATATTCCTCCCCCAGGCCCGCCAGCTATCGACAGCCCACCGCAGCCGCTCCACCTCCTGCCAGAACACGAGGCGCCCACGGGGAGCCAAGAAGGGACCATGGAGGGACCAAGGAGGCACCACGGAAGGACCAAGGAGGGACCATATGGAGGGACCAGGAAGGAAGCACGAAAGGACCAAGAAGGGACCATGGAGAGACCACGAGGAACCCACAGAAAGACCACGAGAGGACCACGACGACCCACGGAAGGACCACGGAAGAACCACGGAGGCAACACGGAAAGCAGAGGAAGGACCAAGAAGCGATCACGGAGAGACTACGGAGAAACGACAGAGGGACCAAGAAGGGACAACGCAGGGATCACGAACGGACCACGGAGGGACCAAGAAGGGACCACGGAGGGACTACGAAGCAAACACGGAGGAACCACAGGACACCACGGAGGGACCACGGAGGGACCACGGACTGACCAAGAAGGGACCACGAAGGGCCCACGGAAGGACCAAGAAGGGACCACGGCGGGACCACGGACGGACGAAGAAGGGACCAAGGAGGGAACGCGAAGGGACCCAGAAGGGACCACGGAGCACAGAGAGGCCACGAGGAACCCACGGAAGGACCACGAGAGGACCACGACGAGCCACGGAAGGAACACGAGAGAACCTTAGAGGCGCAACGGAAGGCAAAGGAGGGACCTGGGAGGGACCAAGAAGGGACCCACGGAGAGACCACGGAGAGACCACGGAGGGACCAAGAAGG